ACGCTGCTCAGTGCCAGCGGCCTCTGCTGTGCGAAGGAGCCCCACTTCCCCGAGAAGCTGTTGCGCAGCAGGACGTATGAGCAGGCACGGCCTCTCTGAGTGCCCGGCAGAAGATGCCCGAAGTAGAAGCGCCTGTCCACCCTGCGCCCCAACAGGCGCAGCAAGGAGCGCAGGAAGACCGGGTCTTGCCTCAAGTAGCAGCGGTGCAGGTTTGCGACGGGTTCGAAGGCGTCGACGCCGCGCACCTCCAGGCCCGGGCGCCGGGTGGCAAGGTAGTACTCCAGCTTTCCGGAACCGAAGAAGGGAGAGTGAAGCACAGCGACGCCCCAGCAGCCGGTCCAGGTGTGGTGCCAGCCACGCCTTGCTCCCCATGTACTTCAGCTGCATACCAGCCCTTTAGTTTATCCGGAAAACTCTGTCAGCGCACTGCTATACAGCAGGGCGCTGACAGGCTTGCCGCCCGGCTTCCCGGCTTCGAATTTGGCCAGCGCCGAAGGTACGGAAGCGATGCCGTCCTCGTAGCATCGTTTCCGGAGTGTTTTGTTTCACCATTACTCGCTTTGCCGTCAATCCTGCGCTGGGCACAGGATTGCCCCCCGTCAATCCTGCGCTGGGCACAGGATTGCCCGGTGTCTCCCTGAAAACTCTGGAAGCGCCATGCTACACTGCGCTTCCGGAGTCGCCGCCCGGATTGCCCGGAAAAACTACGTCAGCGCGTCTCTATACAGCGACGCGCTGACGGACTCGCCGCCCGGCTTCCCGGCTTCAAATTTGGCAAGTGAAACAAAGGAAATGGGGAAGATCAAGCTGTTTCCTGTGCCAGAATACAGCAGCAAACAATCCTCGGACCCCGTGGTGCCCCTGGTTCCGTGCACGGGCATTTTCCTCGGGCCATCAAAATCGGGCAAAACCGTGACTCTGATCAGCCTGATTCTGGAGCAGTATCGCGGCGTGTTTGAGAGAATCTACATCTTTAGCCCGTCCATCGACATCGATGACGGCTGGATTCCCGTCAAGAAGTATATCGAGGAGGACCTGGGGGTGAACACCGAACGGGAGCAAGCGTACTGGGACGAGTGGGACGAGGCGGCGCTGCGCCGCATCATCCTGCAGCAGCGCAAGCTCACGGACGCATCCAAGAAGTTGGAGATGAAGAAACTGTACCAGGTCCTGATAATCTGTGACGATATGGCTGATATGCCTCAGCTCCACAAACCCAACGGCGCCCTGGAGATGTTCTTCATACGCTTCGAAGAGCGCTTTGTAATTGAAAACGCGGATGGGAGCGGCGCTCAGCTTCCTGGGCCAGAAGCTGTTCGCCAGCTCCACGCTGATCACGCACGGTTTGAAAATATCTCCTGCTGCACCTCCGTTGCAGCCGTCCAGCCCGTCGTCCGCCGGACGGGCGGGTTCCTAAAGAAAAGGATGACCACGATCTACGTGGACAGCCGCAAGAGGGTGGCCGGCTCGGACAGCGACTTCGAGGTCGACCTGGGAGAGTCGCTGCACCTGCAGAGCGACGCCCGGCTCGCCGTCTACAAGATCCGCCTGGCCGACAGCTTTTTGTCCACGGACGCCGCTACCTCTACTGGGTTGACGCCGCGCTGGGCACGCTGAACTGGGCGCAGCTTCCGGAGGGCGCCTACACGGGCCGCCGGCTGGCCACCTGGATCAGCTCCAACTTTGCCACCGCCACCTATAGCAAGACCACGAACAGCCTGAGCGTTGCCTACGACGGCAACCGGCTCATTCTGAACGACCTGGAGCTGCGCCAGCAATTTCCTGACGCGGCAGACTACCCCGCCGCGCCGCCCGCCTCTCCCACCAAGCCCTTCAGCGTGGACCACATGCTGGGCCCGAGCCTCGTCTCCGGCGGGCAGCAGGTCTTCGAATTCGTGAAAATGATGGCGCACAACGAGGTCTACCTGCGCTGCGCCCAGCTGGCCAACGCCAGCAGAGTGCTGGGCAACCTGGGCGACGACATCCTCTCCAAGATCACGCTGAAGAGCGGAGTGGGCACCATTGTGGAGACGGGCCCAGACGACGGGCACTTCATGGCCCTCAGGGGCCCGGTTACCCTGAGGCACATGCGCTTCCGCCTGACCGACCTGGACGGCAACGTCGTCCGGCTTCGCGGGTCGTCTTTGTCGTTCGTGTTATATCTTGACCACGTATAATTAAAAAGGATGGAGCCAACCGAACACGACGGGGCGCCGGAGGCGCAAGAGGCGCAAGAGGCGCAAGAGGCGCACGCTGCGCCACACGCTGCGCCGGACGCTGCGCCGGAACCGAAACGGCGGGGCAGGCCCCCTGGGAGCAAGAACAAACCGAAGCAGGACGTGCCTACTGAGCCGGCTGCTCCAAAGCGCAAGCCAAAGCCGCCTCCACTTGAGACGGCGCCGGCGGAGGCACCAGCAGAGGCACCGGCTGAGGCAGCGGCTGAGGCGGAGGCACCGGAGGCGCCTCAGCTCACAAGAGAGCAGCAGCGCGCCCTGCGCATGCTGGAGAGGCAGTCGGCTTATGACCGGTTGACAACAGGCGCAAGCGTACTAGTGTAAAAGCAAGATGATGTCCATTGAGCCCCGCAACGAGCCGCAGATGCTCCGGTGGTTCCGCAAGACTTATCCGAGTTACAACCTGCAGCCGCTGCTGCTGAAGCGCTACCGAGAACTGGAGGAGGCGCGGGCCTTCAACTCCTGGCGGGGGGAACGCCGGCTAGCCCAGGAGGGGCAGCGGCACCTGGACGACGTGAGCCGGCTGACGGAGGCCGTGCACCGCCAGGTGCCCCAGCTGCGCTACGCGCGGGCCGAGCGCCGGGGCGTGGAACGGGCGGCGGGCAAAGTTGCGCAACAGTAAATGAAGACGCTTCGGGCGCACGGCTTCAATCAGCGCCCGTGCTTTGAGCAGGTGGTGGGCTACCTTGAGCGGAATGAGCCGCTGCCCCTGGACTACCTGGACGATTTCGTACAGTCCAGCGAGGACCCCAACCCTCGGCCCCTGCAGCGCACGCCTCTGCAGGCAATTCCCGAGGACGGCTTCCGCACTCCCGCAGAGGCCACGGACGAGGACGTGCGCCTTGCGCGGAGGTACCAAGGCTACGGCGGAACCCGCTTTGTTGAGGATGGCGAGGCGGGGCAGCGCGCGCAGGAGGTGGAGCGCGGCGCAGCGCAGGCCGTTGAGGAGACGGCGGCCGTGGCTGCGGAGGAGGGCGAGGTTGCCGTTGCCGCCGAGGGCGTGGGCGGAGCCTTCGGGTACCTGGGAGGGCTGGCCGAGGGGGCTGCTGCCCTGGCGCCCACCGCGGGCGAGGTTGCTGGAACGCTGGCGCGGCGGGAGTCGGCGCGGCGGCAAGGGCTGGCCGTTGGGCTTGCAGGCGGCGCAGCCTACGGTCACGCTCTTCCGGCCTCAGCAGGGCAGCGAGGACGCGGCCGTGCAGGACGTCCGGTCCGCACTTCACGCTGCGCTCCTGGCAGCAGCACTTCAGGCAGCCCCGCAAGCAGCCGCGCCTCCTCGCAGTCCGGCTTCCGCGTCCAGGCGCAGTCCAACACGCCGCGCCCCTTCTCCTGGGGCCTGAACCCCGTGGCCCTGCCCCAGTCTCAGCCGAGCTCGCGGGCAAGCTCCAGTTCCGGGCAGTCACGCCGGAGCCTGCCTCCGCCCAGCTTTGACCAGCTGGCGCGAGACATTGAGGCTGCTTAAAAAAAATAAAAACCCGGTTTTGCGCTGAACAAATGCTATTAGCCCAGGCCCTACGCAAATGTAGGCCCTGGGCTAATAGCTTTTTTACACGGTTGAAAGAATCCTAAATCCAGTGCCTACGGAAATGTAGGCACTGGACTAATAGCTTTTGCACGGTTTTTTGCTACAAAATGCTATTAGCCCAGGCCGTACATAGATGTACGCCTGGGCTAATAGCTTGTTTTGCACGGTTTTGCGCCACAAAACGCTATTCTTCCAGTGCCTACATCAATGTAGGCACTGGAAGAATAGTTTTCCTTCGCCGTACGAGTCAAAATGCGTGTATAAAAACAGGCATGGAGGTAGTCACCGCCGGAGCCCAGGATGAGCTGATGCAGAGCCTCCCCAGCTCGCTGAGCCTTCTCCCCCACAACCTCTAGATTCTGCCGCATCCCGCTGACCAGCGGCACGTCCTTCATCGACCCCGAGTCCATCAAGATCGCCTTCCGCGTCAGGAACACGGACGGCACCAACCCGCTGGCCCCAGCCACGCCCAACCCCGCCTGCTTCGTCCAGAGCGTCCAGGTCTTTCGACGAAGTGAACGACCCCCGCATCGCGCGGTGCACCAGGGCGGCTACGCGGACGTGCTGCTGCGCCCCACCATGGTGGGCATCCTGCGCTGCGGGAAGATGCTGCCGCCGCAGCTGAACCTGGTGATAGAAATTGAGTTTGCGGACGCCACAACTGCGCTGTGGTCCGAGAACGCCGGCGCGCACCCGGCGGGGGAGGGGCTTCTGCACTGCGCGCTGTGCGAGATCCGAGATCCGGTGGAGACCGCCGCAGAGGTCATCGCTTTCTGTGACGGCCTTCTCCGTCGGCGCAAGCGCCTTGAGATCTCTGTGTGCCAGGAAGCCTTGGTGAGGCTCCAGTGGCTCAACCTCGATGATGCCAAACCCGAGGAAGCTGAGTCGGCGCGGGAGCTCCAACGCATCTTTGAAAGGAGGCTCTCAAAGGCTCTTGCGGAGGCCCAGGAGCAGACGGAGGAGCCGGCCGAAAAGCCGGCTGAGGCCCAGGAGCAGACGGAGACGGAGGAGCATGAGCCGGTCGAGGAGCCGGCCGAGGAGCCAGCTGAGGAGCAGATGGAGACGGAGGAGCAGATGGAGGTCAAGGAGAGGAGGAGGTAGAGGAGGAGGTGGAGGAGGTAGAGGAGGAGGTGGAGGAGGTAGAGCTTCCGACACCCGCCCAACTGGGGCACTACACGCAGTTCAAGGAGCAGTTTACCGAGCCTCCCGAGGATAACCTAAAACACCATCGCCTTGTTTGGGAGCGGACGGACGTGTTCACCATCAGCAACGCTCTGCAGCTCGACGCCGTGCGGCGATGCCCCGACCACAGTCTCTTTGATGTGCTGATGAGCCTGTTCAAGCGCTCTGTGAATGTGGACCAGGACGGCATTGGGTGGATTCCCGTGCTCCTGCGCCCAGGCCGCACCGTGCCTGGGCTGAAGGGGCGGATCTTCTCCGGCATCGGTCGGGTGCCCGCACAGGAGGCGCCTGCCAAAAAGCGCAAAGGCAGTGAGGGCGCCGTGGATTCCGCTCGGGCAGAGTTCATGAAGCAGCTGCCGCCGGAGATTCGCAAGGAGATCGAGATGGGGGTCCCAGACACGCTTGTGGGGCGCTCTGCATTTGCCTTCAAGAAGTTGGTCCGCTACATTGCGCGGCATCGCCTTGGATCCGTCGAGCTGGACAGCAAGAACTCGTTCTTCCAGCTCTTGAACCGACAGAAGCCGCTGCCGCCCATCATGGCGGAGTACCTGGACCACCGTGAGGAGAAGCTCGCGCAGATCGGCCGCGTGCTCTTCCACAAGCTGCCCGAGGCCCGCCGGCGCAGCGTGGCGAAGGAGCTGATGATTGCCCTGGGCTTTGGGGGTGGTTTTGCAAACTGGACGAGCAAGGTGCTGCAGGACATACCCTTGGCTTCGGACGAGGGGAAGCGCGGCGAGGTGGCTGCTTGGCTCTACGGCTTCGAGACGGCTACCACGTGGACGTTTTTGAGCTGCTGCCACAGAATCGGGGGCCTTTGCCCTGTACGCCCACCACGAGAGGTTGCAGATGGAGAAGATGGCGGCGGCAGCGGGCAGGGCCTTCAACGACCACCAGCACGACGGCATCGGGGCCCTCCGCTCCGCGAGCGAGGCCGTGAAGCGAGCCGTGGATGTCGAGGCGGTCGTGCACGAGCTGGAGGACCCGTGGGCATACGCGGCGGCGAAGTACCCCAACTTGGGTTGGAGACTCAAGTCGAAGATGGAGTTCTCCGGGTACCACCAACCTGCAGGCAGCACGTCATACTTGGACGGGCGAGGGCAAACACCGTGGACTTTGCGAAGCTGGCGGCGGCGCAGCTGGTCCTTCCGGTGGAGGGGGGCGAGAAGAGGACCACCTACGAAAGCTTCGAGAAGGGAGGCTTCTGGCTGGTGCGAAACCGGGACGACTTGGGCCAGACCGTGGAAGACCTGATGAACAAGATGTGTTGCCCGGTCTTCGAGACAGTCGATGAGAACTACGTGCCGCCGCCGCCCCTCAACGATAATGCCTTCTTCACCGGTCTGTCCTCGTCCGTTCTGGGGCGTCTGGCAGGCCCGCAGATGGCGGACCTCGACGGCGACGAGACACGGCGCAAAATCCTCTTTTGCGACGGCATGCTCTACGATTTCAAGGAGCGTGTCCTCCGATCACCGATCCCCGCCGACCGCATGGGCTTCCACGCAAAGGCGACCTCAGAGATGTGGCAGCCGAGCAAGGCGACCAAGCTCTTCGAGCACATCCTGGCTTTCTTGAAGGAGCATGTGGAGACGGGGGTGTGTCTGCTCGAGGCCAGCGAGAATGGCAAACAGGTCATCGAGTGCTTCGAGGAATTGGAGCAGGACGGGTGCGAGATCCTCCGCCACATGAAGGTGTACGGGGACTGGGACTCCGTCCTGTACGAGCTGCGTCTCATGACCAGGGCCATCTCCGCGACGCCGCGGTTCTGCGAGATGTACTACATCTGGGGAAGCCAGGATTCCGGGAAGGACGCCAAGGTGAAGATGTTGCACGCCTTCCTCGGTCACGGCAAGGACAACTACGGGGCGCAGCTTCCGGGAAACTATGTGGTGCAACAGACTCGCTACCTGACCGCGAAGGACGGACCCGCGCCTTGCCATGCAAGGACTCTAGGCAAGCGACTGGCCTGGGCCAGTGAAGTCCCCGAGCACTACTCGTTGGCGGATGACTTCATCAAGCCCTTTTGTGACATGGAAGGTGCGCCAGTCTGCAGCAGGAAGCTCAACAAGGGTCCCCGGGACTTCATGCCTACGGCTTTGCTGGTGGCAACAAGCAATTCCCCTCCCCGTGTGACTCGACCGGATGGGATGCTGCGGCGGCTTCGAGTCTGCCAGACAACGGTCAGCTTCACCTTGAAGCCGTCCATGGCCACCGAGGAGCGAGCCGTGGATGGCCTCAAGACCCGGATAAACCGAGGAGAGTTCAACAAGTACATCTTCTTCCTTGCGGCAAATCTCGTGGACTCGTTGGAGATGGAGTACAACCCAGGCACCGAGATCAAGCCGCAGCCACCGGAGATGAAGATGAGCGCCATGGACCTGGTCCCATGTGCAGACAAGGACGAGGAGGCCAAACCCGAGGCCTTCATGACAGAGATGTGTGAGCTGGTGCCCTTGAAGGAAGCAAGCCTCCACACGGAGCTGACGATGGCGCTGAAGACCTACCCAGCCTGGACACCTTGGGCGCGGCAAAGAGCGTGATCTCGAAGTTGGGGATCAAAGGACAATCCTATGGCCCGCGGTACATCTCCACCCTCAAGCAAAATGAGCGCATGGTGGGTGTGAAGCTCCGATCGGCATCGACAAGTAGCTCTTGGGCTTTTGGGTGACGTACAGTGTCAGCCATTTGCAGAGACCCGGCAAGTCACGTGAACAGATGGCGTGCTTGCGCAAGGAAAACACTGTCCAACCCTTGCTGTCTTGAGCGCACCTCAGATGTCCAACCCTTGTTAGATGCCTCAATGCCTGAGGCTTCTGCGGTCTCGACGTCTTGCTCGGGCAGGTCGATAGGTCGAGGACACGGACGCATGGGGATTTAGATTTTTATAATGACGTCGTCCGAGAGACTTGGGGTGCTCTCAGGAAAATCATGCTAGGGTTCCCCAAAAACACGACTCAAAGTACTACAAGTTTCCAGCGCTTTATGCAAAGTTTCCAGCTTGGTCCAAAGTAGCCGTAATCCTGGGCCTTGGAGGCGCCAGGAACTCCTCCAGCTGCCCACGCCGTCCGGGGTGCTCTTCGTAGCCACCACGCCCTCCAGCACGTTGAAGGCCGATTGGTCTGCCTTGTTGGAGAGACCCGTGGTCAGCGAGCTCTGCAGCGCGGCGATGTCCGTGGTGGCCAGGGCTGCTTGACGCCAGCTCTGACCCGGTCGTCCAGCGACTGGATGGCGGCTGTGTTCACGGCTAGGTCTGCCACTTGTGCGTAGGGCGTCAGAGCAAGGGCCAGCTGCCCTGCGGTGACGTGCGTGCCGTCAGTTACCTCTCCGTTGTCCAGGACCTCCGGGGTATTGCCGGTGACAGGTCCTTCAAACATGTTTACATATGTTTTCGCCGACGCCTTAGTCCAGTGTGGGACCGCTGCGGGACGCTTCAAAGAAATATGCTGGAGCTCTTCAAGGGCACCGGATCAATTGGAAGGGCCTTCGAGGCCAGGGGCTGGGAGGTGGTCAGCTTGGACATCCTGCCCAAATTCACACCCACCATCTGCTGCGACATTCTGCGCTGGGACTACCGCGCCGCCTTCCCGCCCGGGCGCTTCGACTTTGTGTGGGCGTCACCCGTTTGCACCGAACACTCCCAGGCGCTCACCACAAGGCCCCGCAGGCAGTTAGTGGTGGCCTCTCCCGTCCGCATTTTGCCATCCGGTCATAGGGTCCCCCCCACACTTTTGGGCACATTCTGAATACACCCACTAAAACAACCTATTTTCAACATTCAAATTCAATCCCAACCAATCCAACACCAAAAAACACATATTCACATACCCATCTTCATTTCTTACCCCATCTCAACATCACCCTTACACTCATTCAATAACAACAATCATAACTACATACCACCTCAACAAATCCCACCAAAAAAATCCAAGCTACATACCAACATTTTTCCATTCCCAAGATCGCAACCCCAAGATCTCAATAATTTCTCCCTTGATCCAACCTGAGACCCTTTCCCATTTCCAACAAATACGAACAGTCTAAAAAAGAACGCTATGTTCGCCCCAAAAAATGGTTAACCAATGGAAAGGGGAGAATTAAAACCGTTAACCCATTGTTTAATTTCCTTGACCACGTTACGACAGCTTTGTCTTCTACCTCATCGGCATCTACTTCGTGCGCCCTTTCAGATTGCGTCGGGATGGGTGGGTTTCTTTTGCGTTGATTGTCTCAACAGTTTTCAACAGTTGAGTGACAGACATTGATACCTCAGCCTTTCTCAGAGTTCAAGACACTCGCGCGGTTCCGCATTGCTTGCTGTCATGTCGGCTTCTTTGGTGTTTGTCAAGCAGGCAGGCGCGGTTGAGGAGTTGAAGGCGCTAGCGGTGGGGAGCGGTTCTATCCTGACTTTGAGTGAGGGTCGCATCAATGGTGCGTACGATGTCACGGACAACAACGAAGAGTTGAAAGCCTACCTCAAAAAGATGACCATTGACAACATCAAACTCACAATGACCAACTTGGGGTGTAGGCTTACAGCCACGGGACGGGGTGGTCGCTCTGCTCGCATGACAAAGGACAACTATGTTGATGCTGTGATGGAGCACTGGGAGACGATTAAACAAAGGGCTTCTTCGAGGGCTTCAGCTTCAACCAGTTTGACCACTCCTTTGGCTACATCTTCGCTTGACACGGAGAATGACAGCGTGAAGGTGGATCAGGAGAAGATCAAGGAGGATGGGTTGCGAACTATCGCCTACGAGGAAAATGAGAAGGACAGCGACAAGGACAACGAGAAGGACAACGAGAAGGACAGCGAGAAGGACAGCGAGAGTGAGAAGAGCGAGGACAGGGAGAGTGAGAATGACTTCACACTGGCAGACTTCCTTGAGACGAACACCTTTGATGAGGATGACACCCACTTGTTCTACCAGTTCTTCTTGAAGGATGGCACGGACTTTATCGCCAAGACTGTTCGTGTGATGGATTGGAAGAGGAATTTCAAATTGTTGGAATTCAAGGCGTTGGCGTCAACCACCATCTCATTCCTGAAGAACATGATTTGTGATGGCATCAACGAGATGCGCCGAACCAAGCACATCGGTGGCAATGGCATGACCATTCGTGACTTCAACCTCATCAACAACGGCGTGAAGATGCATGATGATGATGTGCTTGACAACTTCCAAGACGACGAGGGTGAGAATGACCACGTCACAGTGTACCTTCGTCTTGTTCTTCGTGGCGGTGGCAAGATGTTGGGGGTGAAGAAGGCATCCGTCACCAAGAAAGCCATCGTTGAAGAGAAGAAGAAGGATGTTCTTGTCAAGGTGATGAATGTGAATATCGTCAACATGGTTGTGGAGAAGAAGACGATTGAAGAAGCGGGGCAGTCAATGACAACCCTTTACAACTGTGCCGAGACCGACGGCATGACCGCCTTCAAGTATCTGCTCCAGAAACTCAGCACAAAGAACCTTGGAGACAGGAAGGCCTCGCCCGCCATTGATGCCCTCAATGCAACCCATGTGGACATGAGGTTGGTCAAGCTTGGTGACATGATGCTAAGGGACACTTACCCGTCTCTCTTCACTCTCTCCAACGATGTGAGCGGAATGCTTGAAAGCGCAGAGTTAACGTTCGATTACATTTTGCACTGCGCCTTTCTCAAGGAAAGTGGTTCCATGAACTGGGCAGAGGTTAAGAGGGCCATTGAGGATGAGCAGGTCCGTCGCTCTCCGCCTGCTGATATTGCAGGCGAAGACATGACCTTGTAAATCATGTCTCTGATGAACACAGCCTCCAAATGGAAACGCAATGAGGCATCCAATTTACTTGTTAAGCGGTATGATTTCGAAGCCACTCTGGATATTGTTTGTATCCACCTTGGATATTGTTTGTATCCACCTTGGATATTTTTTGTATCAAACATGGATTTCATAAATCCCTATCAGATTTTAAATATCCACTCGAGGTATACTTCATATCCATTTTGACCATGCCTCAGTTGGAATTCCAAGTACATGAGGGAGACTGTGTGGTGAGACAGTTGCCATTTTCGCCGAGTGGTCATCGCGTGCTTGACACATGGCACCTTGGAACGCTGGAAAAAACTGTCCGTCTCATCATACCAGCAACAAAGTATTTTGTCGACTTGAAACCACATGCTACTTGCATCGCCCAGACACATGGCAGGTTGATGACGAGCGCTACACGCATTGGTGACCAAGTTGGGCGGTGGGCGGACAGGGGGGCTTTTGTATAAATCAAACAACCATGAAAATATCACTAATTAGATTTTGGGGTATTCTATATAAATCATGTTGTTTATGTATTATAGGGTTTGCTCCCCATTGGTGTCGGGATCCAGCTGGAAGCCGTTGAGCCGTTTCAAGATGCCTCCCATCAACCACGTTCCCACAATCTTTTTGACATAGGGGTTTTGGTTTCCATGTCGTTAGGTTAGTCCAGATCCTAGTTCTCTTCCTGTATCTCATCCCATATTTGCAATAGTCAACATCAAAAAAAGGTAGCCCTTTCATAAACTCCTGTTCTTTCAACAGTCCAGTTTGGGGATTTTCGATAAACCAATAACGGGGCTTAAGGGTCTTCAAAACAATGGAATTTGCATAGTCTATTTTGCGGACCCCTGTTGTCTTGGCTCTACTGTATTCAGTGCACGGGGGAGAAGCCCAAATTATGTCAAAGTGATTCCGATCAAACTGTTTGTAGTCCCAATGTAAAATATCTTGGTTTATGTCAGCACCCTTCAAATCCAGTGAAATGACATTGAACCCCAGATCACGGGCGATGCGACCGACCGACCCTGTCCCACTAAACAGTTCTAATAGATTCATCAGCTATTAGAACCGTTTAGATATTATTTTTTCAAACCTTCAGAATCTCTGACCTCAAGTAGGGGCGGTTCATCCCTTCAACAGAATAATAATCTTGACCAAGTTTTTTTTCAACCCTTGAAACCTTGTATTTGACACTGCTCCAGTTGCTCGTTCTTTCTTTCTTGGAAATCCCTTTTTTGCGGTATATTTTGACCTCATCACCAACCCTAACAGGGGGATATTTACGGGTTTTGATTCTGTTCATCTCAAGCTTCATCTTGACCTCAAGATGGTTTCCCTTTTTGTGGGCATCGTTTGGAGTCATATCGCGGGCAGAATGAACCATTTTACTGTTGTGTGTCAGCATGATCTCGAAGATATAATCAGCCCATTGTATATTAACCTTTCCCTTTTTCTCGTCTGCATCAACCCTCTTGAAAAGCATGTCCTTGAACGTGCGAATGAAACGCTCGGCGAAATGGGGGCGCCCTCGTGTTTTATAGTTTTGGATCCCTTCGTCCTTGAAAAAATCAACAAGATCTTGGGTATTGGGTATTGAGACTCCCCTCGTCATCCGAATAAATTAATTTGGGTTTCCCTCCCATTTTGTTTAATGCCTCCATGATCCCAGCCGTGATGTCGGCAGGTTGCTTGGATGCAATAGGTACCACCACGGCTTTGCGGGAAAATACATCA